TATCCATAAAGTCAATGGACACCGAATCTCCGGGTCTGTCAGGAATAGGCGAAGGTCTGAGAAGAGCTAGAGGGGCTCGCGTAGTGGTTTTGTTCCTCTGACACACTTTGCAACTGCGTACGTACTCTATGTAGTCAGCTTTCATACCCGGCCACGTATATGCGCATGAGAGGTTAGCTGAAGTCTTTTGCCAACCAAAGTGTCCCTCTGTGTCGTGACATTCCCCTAGCATCAAACTACGGATCTCCTCACTGTTAGGAATTCACAAACGGTCAACTACGTTAGTCTTCTCAAACAGCAACCCATCAGTAGTGCGGTAATGAGGTTCTGTCTCCGGAGCTTCCTTAACTCTCTTAAGGAGGTCGCTATAAATAGGATCCTGCGCATACGCTTCCTCGACTCTTTGCTGCAGGTCTGTTTCTATATCTAAGTAATGCACTATTGCCCCAAAGTAATCGGCTGCACAGGCCCTAGCCTCAGACTACTTGGACTGGTACCCGCCTAGACCTAGCCTACAACTACCGGGCCTCTAAAAATGCCAACTTTTTTCTTCTGCTCGGCCTCCAGTCCCCGGCACATTTTCCACTACTTGAGTGGTACCGGCCTGCCGCAGGCCTACTCTCGCTACTCGAGTGTTTACCCCGCTGCAACCCTCAAAGTCACAGCCACAGGTAAGTACCGACCCTACGGGGCCTCCCAAGCTAGCAAGTACCCTTTTAGGCCACACAGACACTCAAGCCGACAAGCACTCAGACAGGCACGCAGACCAGCAAGCACACACACACACAGACTTGGAAAACTCTGCAAAGCGGGATTCTCAGCAAGGCATTCATTCTAACGACAAAACTCAGAAATCAGCTGCGTTCTCAGTCCGTGTTTGGACAGACCACCTGTGCTCTGTGCTCAGACTCAGTTCATCGGATCTAATATATTATTAAATTTATTACAATTGCGTCGCATAAGTAGCCACCTGCACGAATGGTGTAACGACTGCCCTGCTGTCTCCAACATGGGCTCAGTGAAATTGAATTCTCCGTGAAGATGCAGAGTACCAGCGGCTAGACGGTAGGACCCCGTGCATCTTTACTATAGCTTTGCATTGACAACCTTGATTGAATGTGTAGGATAGGTGGGAGGTGGTCATCAGTGACTACCAAGCTTGAAATACTTGAGGCTCGCCAGAGTTATATATAGTTATAGCCGGCTGAAGGCCGAAACCAGTCATAATGTCTGCTTTCAACCAGGCCTCAATCTGATTCCTCATCACAGGATATGTGTCTAGCTTTTCCAAGAGGCACAGTGTTGATTCGATCAAAGCATTTCGCAATGTCGACGTGTATAATGGCTGTGCCGACCCCGACAACAGACGGATCTGGAAGTCCTCCTGGACCTTGGTCCGGATTGCTCCAGACCGCCCACATTTCCAGAAAGCATCTGGACAAACCGAACCCAGACAGGTCAGACCAGGTTGTGATGGGCCCAGATCTGTCAGGATTGAAAAAAAAGAATAAAAAAGGCATGGCAGTGAGAGAGGGTAAGGCTGATCTACAGACCAACCTCACCTGCAGATCTCCTACGATCAAGTGTGAATTCGACGGCTAAATACATGGCAATCAAACCATAAGATGAGATCACGAAAAGGATACTACAAGTAGAAGGTACACAGGCTTGCTCAGCAGCAAGAAAAAGAATAGATTGAAACATAAAAAAAGAGAGCCCCAAGTTATCTGCTGCGTGAATCTGGGTGTACCCCGGTCAAATACATCCAAAAATAATCAATGAGAGGGCAACAGACCAGTGAGAGGACCGTTTTTCATGGCACTGGCTGTTTAGTTTCTCATGGCCCCCAGCTGTCAGAGGGCGGTAAAAAACGGCACTCTCACTCTCTGTGTAGCATATCTCTTCCACCTCCTGGATGTATCTGGCTGCAATTGTGGCACGAAGGAGGGTGGCACAAAAGAAAATTCCATGATCCAATCCCGTGTTATGTAGTTATCTCATTCTTGCAGGTCCTGCAAACTATACAATCAAAATCCCATGGTCGCATTTCTTGTTGACCTACCTCCCCTACCTCCTTCAACCTCACCGCCACATCTTTTCAAAATATCCCTTGATTCTACTTCATAGTGCCTTATCCTACCCCTCCTTTTGAAATGAAAGCTCCCCCCGCAACTCTCGTGTCCAACCGTTTCTAGAACCAATGTAAACGAAGCCTTATGCTAATCGAAATGAGGTGAGAGTTCAAAGGTGAGATACTATAGTCGGTGCAATGAAGCCGAACCCTAGAATCTCACAATATTAGCATCATGCATGTATCTCACCATGCTCAATGACCAGGAGACAGCAAGTTGACAAGATTGTAGGCCAAGGTAAGAGGAGAAGATAGTTTCGACTGCTACGATCTCTTGTATCGCCTTCCTCCTCTAACTCCAGGCTTCTCTTCTCTCTTCTCGCCAACCTAACCCTCTACTGATGACGAAGCCGCTGTGTCTCTCACAAGCGTCTCACCACCAGTGCAAACAATGCCGGTCTTCAGAAGCAAAGCACTGTCTCACCAGCATGGCACACGACCAGGTAAGTCCACATAACTCGCTCTCTCTCTCTCTCTCTCTCTCTCTCTCTCTCTCTCTCTCAATGTTCTACACAATGCACAGGACGTGATCGCCCCTCAAACCTCACAATCTCACCCTCATGGTAAGCTATGGTGCAGTGCACCGTCAATGCTAGCTATGCCTACTCTGAGCCTCTGTCCACCGTCTTCCTGGGCAAGGGCTCCAGCAGCAGCACTCGAACGTCGAAGCAGCGCAAGGCAGAATGAACACACGAGCTGGGGGCAGGCCCAGAATTTGTACGACTAACTCACACCGGCCTGCCTCCAGTTGCCTCCTTATGTGGATGAGATTTTGCCAATCTGTAGAGCCAGACTTTCTTGTGGGCAGCGTGTGCCTGGACCCAGGAGGTCTTGGAAGCTTCTGGAAACTTCCCGGAGCCTCCGGCTGGCCGCATCCGTAAGCAAAGTACATTGTGCCCTTGATCAAATCCTGCATGGTCCAGATCCAAAGAAGGGAAGACTTGACTCTTTCGATTTGCTCTCCCAGGTATCGATCTGACTGTTCTTGGTTTAGTGGGAGAACTGATACAAGGTGAGGCCTCGGCTTGACCAACACTGAGCTACAAATTTGACTTAGGCCGAGGCCCTGCTGGAGCTACGTCCATGCCCAGGAGCCATGAACCTGGTCAAAAGAGTAACTATGCTGACAATTTCTTAGTACAAGCATAGCTGCAGAGCGGCCTGGCCCTTACTGACCAACCAACCACAAGACTTTGCTCTAGACACTTCTGGCTCAGCTGTCTTTTCCTTAACTTCCGTTTCTCCTTCAATCATCCTGCAGCTTGTAGGGGGTACTGAGGCTGTAGCCGCGTTCAACTGCTGCAGGATCCATTTACCGCTACGCAGTGTGTGTGTGTGTGTGTGGAGAACGGGGGGGGGGGGGGGGGGGGGGGGGGGGGGGGGGGGGGGGGGGGGGGGGGGGGGGGGGGGGGGCATGGCGTATGGGGGTGCTCGTAGGGTTATTGGGGGTTATGGACTCCCCCCCCACAAAAAAGACAAACATATATATATATACAAGGTTACCGGCCTGAGCGTTTGGACGCCCCTGGCCCGTCCTGGTCGGGGTGCGGGCCCCGCTGAACCCCGTTTGGAGACCTAATTTTGTATTATTATAATTATTATTGTTTACTAATAGTTCATCTGATAAAGGTCCTATCCCCCAATTTTGAGGTCATTTCATTGAGTGAAAAAAAAAACAAAAAAATCATCAAAGGGGTTTTTCCTTTATTTTTTGTGGGGGTTAACGAACACCGGGCGTTCGGGACCCATCCCTGCAGGGGTTCGCGCCCCACCAAAGATTGGACCCATCCCTGTTTGGAGGCCTGGAAAAAAAAAACAAAAAAAACATCGAAGTAAATAAACTGAAAAACCCCCATTTTTTTATTTTTTATTTATTTATTTTCTTTTTGGGGGGGAGGGGTTAACATTATGAATCAATCAATCAATCAATGATTGATTGATTGATTGATTGATTGATTGGTTGATTAATCGATTGATTGATTGATTGATTGGTTGGTTGGTTGGTTGGTTGGTTGGTTGATTGGTTGCGGAATTGATTGATTGATTGATTGATTAGTTGGTTGGTTGCGCGGAGGGGGGGGGAGGGAGGAGGAAATCATCGAAGTTGGCGGGTTGAATAAACTGAGAACCCCCCATTTTATTTTTTATTTTTATTTTTTTTTTAGGGGGGAGGGGTTACATTATGAATCAATCAATCAATCAATCAATCAATCAATCAATCAATCAATCAAAGCAGTTGATTGATTGATTGATTGATTGATTGGTTGGTTGGTTGGTTGGTTGAGTGGTTGAGTGGTTGCGGAATTGATTGATTGATTGTTTGATGGATTGATTGATTGGTTGATTGGTTGATTGGTTGATTGGTTGATTGGGTTGATTGGTTGGTTGGTTGGGGGGGATCGCCCCCCCTGCCGCACGTACACACACATGCTTTGCTCCGTGTTGGATGTGTGGACTGCCTCGTCTGTGCTCCGCCGCTGCCTTGCTGCCTGGCCCGCTTGCTTCGCATGTGGTTCTCTGCAAGTTGCTGTGTTCACCGTGTGGTGTGGCCGTGTTGTTGGTGTTGCGTTGCTCTTTGCTGCTCCGCTGCCTTGCTGGCAAGTCGCTGCCCATCCGCTGGTCGTGCTTTCCGTGTTTGTTGCTTGAGCATCCGACTTTAAACAACCCTTCCACCAGCTCTAGGAATTTCTCACCGGCTATCTCTTTTTTGATAATGTGATCCATAGAATCAAAACAGTTTTGTAGGTTGGTTGCCTTGTTGCTGTTGCCGTGTGCTTCGCTGCACTGTTGCTGAGCTGCTGGTCCGCTCGCCCGGTTGTCCTCTTCAGAGTGCGGTTGCTTTGCTTGTGCTCCACTACAAGGTTGCTGTGCTGGTCATCCGTCATCCATTTGCCCTGCCGTTCCATGCAGTCGTTTTTTGCGTTGTGCAGCCGTGCTGCCTCTACATGCAGTCGTTTTTTGCGTTGTGCAGCCGTGCTCCCCCTCCAGTCCGGGCACTGAGCCAGTCCGTCAGATTGGCCCTCGAGTGACTCTTCAGACTTCGGGCACGGCAGTGCATGACACTGCTCACTCGATCACAGACCAAGGCCATGGACCGGAAGGCGGGGGAATCCCTCCTGAGCTATGAGGAACGCCTGGCGGCATTCATTCAAGAGGCCAATGATAGGGCTGCCGCCGCGGCCAAGGAACGTCGGCAGCTTGAACAAGAGGAGGAGGCCAAGCGACAGAAGGAGAAACAGGACCGACTTCGTCAAGAGGAAACAGACCTGCAGGCGGCAGCTGAACACCGGTCACGCCAGCGGGAACGACTGTTCACACGGGAGACCGTGATCGGCGATGAGGCCGCACGTTGGGTGGAAATGGCATCTACAGACGAGGCCCCAGAGACTGAGAAAGGACTGTCAGCCCTTGCACAGGTCTCCCACGACCTCGTGGCCACCTGCGCTCTGCAGCAGGAGGAAATCCTCCACCTGCAGCAGACAGTGGACCAGATGCTCGCACGGCTGCGGGCGTTGGAAAAACAGCCAGCAGCCGTAGCAGCCGCAGGGCCTGCAAACCTTGCGACCCGTGTTCAAGTCTTGGAGGACGACGTCGGCAATATCAAGCGTGTGCATCAGGACTTCAGGAAGTCGCAGCAAGCAACGAACTTGCAGTTGGAGACGCAGGTCCAGGCGGCCGCCACCGTGACGCCCGCCGCCGCATCCTCCAGGCGCCCACCCAAGCTAGATGACATT